GCCTGGGAAAGCCGGTCCTGTACAGAAAATTTACTGAAAACTCGAATATCTTCCTCCAGACAAGCCAACGGGAGATAATGCTTTAACTTCGTTAATTTGGCGGTGAGAACTTTCTTTTGATGTAAAAATAGCTAGTCTTTTCAACTTACAATACAAACACCTTCATTATAAGTGAAGAAAATGTTATAATGTTAGGCAGATTTCAATATTGCCCATTCATTGTAGTCTCTAATTTTGAAATTGAGGTGCACATATACAGCAGCAAATAGAATACAGTGTACTTAAAGTAGATAGCATATAGCAATGTACTAAGTTTTAAATGCACCGTAATACTGCACATCGTTTGCGTGCCGTTTCATTCCAGTTTTCTCGTTTTACTCAATACTTATTATGTCGATTACCATTTCTTGTTGAATAAAAATCAATGTAAAGAAAGAAAGAAAAACATTGTATACTAGAGCCCGCGTAGGACTGAAAGATAGTGCTCTTTTCGATTTCTTCTCGCGTTCAGTGTTTGTTTACATTGTGGCTAGTCCTGCATCAGTTGTTTTCGTATTGTCTTTTTTCCTAATGAAACAATATGATTATTCTAACCATTGATTTCTTTCGTTACAGTGACCAGATGATGACTATCAAAAATCAATGCATCGGTACCATTCATTTTTAACATCTTGAATATAAATTTTTCATTCTGTTAAAACTAAAAAAACTGCAATATTAAGAAAATTGAGAAATATATTCTATTCATTCTAGCTGTAGTGGAGGCTTGGTAGGGTTGTACAACTATCGAGCTCCGACTTGAAAATTAGTTTTCCCCATCAAAATATATGTGGGTTTCACAAAAAAAACCACAGTCTATTGATAAACTAATCAATTTTGTTTTTAATTTATTTAAAGTGGATGGAAAATCGAAGTGTGGTCATTGATATTCTTTCAACTCACAATCACACCCTCAAGATGGAGAAATAGATGGCACTAGCCTTTTGTCTTTTCTGCCACCCTTGCAACTCGAAAATTATTTAAGATAGAAAATAAACTGTAATATTCATGTTTTATCATGAGCAACTCACGAAAAATTATAATATACTCCGTCTATGAAGCAAGATGTATCATTCATCGTTTTATGTCATGATGTCGAGGTCTATGCAATTGTTTTTTCTTGCATCTGACACAAATGTTGTGCAATTCTTTTCTTTTTCTTAAGCAATTATGGCAAGTAAGAAAAATATGTTGAAATTCAAGGACGTATATGGTTGACGCGGCACTCACACTATAGTCTTGTGTTTTTCACACCTATCATGTTAACTGACACAGAATTAGTCTTGCCGAATTTTACTGAATTACGTATTTATCCATCATTCACAGAAATTCGCCAACAGTACAATGCACCAAAAGTAGGTTTCAATATTAGAATAAACTGAAGTAAAGTAAATTCTGCTTCATTTATTTAGAATTTCACCATTTATTTTTCGCGGGATGTGTTTTCGAATATTGCTCGAGGTTCATTGTCGATCGAAGGTGTTCCCATTGAATCTAAACAAATTGTTCCCAAAGCAAACAATCTCGAAAATCAAACGATCTTTGTTCAACGTCACTCGAATGAAGAACCTCAAGAATGTAATGTTATTCAAACTGATGGTCTTCTTTTACAAAATATTAAAACAAAACGATATTTTCATGCTCAACGACATGAAATCGAATATATTAACATTCCGGAACAAGAAGGAACTGAAGTGACATATGTCTTAAAACATCAAGGCAAAGCAACATTAAGCTATCAGATTCATGGTGAGGATTTTTATCTCTTAATGGCATCCTAGTTTCTTGGCCCAACATTTCATGTTTTCTCATAGCTGATTTTTTTTCGACTCGTATCTTAATGAAGTTATAAGATGTTCCCTACTTGCTGACCATGATATCGTGACTTTTTATCACAATTTCGAGTTTCTATAAGTCGATTCTAAAGAAGATCAACACAAATCTGCTCAATATCTGTAAGATAAAAAGAAACTAATTTCACACAACAGCACGCAAAGTACGATAGACTATTAAATTATCCATCATTTCTGATCGATTAATGATTAAAAAAAGCGTTTCTGAGAGAGTTCGACTTTCGTTTCAGATAGATGAAGTCCAACACAAAGCCCATTCAACACGATCCTCGCGATCGAATTGTACTGAATATGATCATGGAGGATCACAGCAACCAGTCAAAAATAGAAAACTACGAAAAATCTAGTTTTGTATCTCAATCTATCTTAAAAATAAAGTTTCCGAACTGCTTGTAATCAACTTCAGTCACTATTTTTCTCCGTTTGCCCCTAGACTGTTTTATTGAATTATAGTAAAAGTTACACATTTTGACCGGCTTACAAGAGTTTATTGTGTTTGACTTTATTTCTTTGATAACCGAGTCAAAAAGAAAAAATCGAAAGAAAAAATGGAATACAAATTGACTCAAGTACTTGAAAAAAGTTTCAGTTTCATCAGTGAATACATTCTGGTATAATTAGGCAATTACAAGTTCAGATAAAATGATGAAAAGATTATTTTCTTGGGAAACGAGCGAAATCATTCTGTTTGTGAGAACAAAATTTATTGGGATAGCTCAGTATGTATGATAATAAATGCTGGAGTAGATAAGTTTCATTTCAAAAGAAGTTTTAAACAATCCTCAAGATCAAAACTCATATGGAACTGTTCTATGTTTAATTGAATTCGATCTAAAAGAGAGTTATATTCGTTTTACTTTCTTATATCTATCAACAGCTCCTAGAAAAGTCTACTGTTATACGTAAACAGACCGCATTCATATGGGATTTATATTTTACGGCCTGTTTGATAAATCGACTATTATTTGTATTGTTGCCAATCAAAAATCATTATGAAGCCCTGTGGCACATTTCATTTTTATGTAACATTCTATTTTTTAATACTATTTTTAAGGTATCACTTGGTCACCACAGTACGATTTGAGTATTCTATCCGATGATTGCCAACACATGTTTCAAGCATTTGCCGAAATTACGAATGGAACAAAACAAGTATACAGAATCGATCAAACAGAATTGCTCGGTGGTGACATAGTGTTACGAAGAGATGTTGCATCGAAACGACGTCGTGATCGATCGAGAAGTAGGAGCAGAAGTTCAAGTGAGTCATCTGATGAGGATGACGAAGAATTTGACTCTTGTGATATAACACCGGCGGTTGGTGAACCAGGAGAGCTAGCAGGTACGCTTAACTTTTGTAGACATTGCATTCTCTAAGATGCATGTAAGCGCACTGTGTCTAATAGGTCTCTATCGGTATTCAATTGATCAACCATTTGTTCTCTTGGCAAAGTCGACATTTGGTTTACCATTCATTAATGCAACAATTCAAGTAAGCAAATATGTCGGTCTGACACTTCCATTTACTAGTCACACTCAAATTCGAAAGTTGCAACGAAAGTATCGTATTGAATCTATTGATAAATTTCTTCCTGGCGGACCATTGACTATTCGAGAATAGGATCACTTAGTGGGAGTGACAACAATACCAGACATGGCTATTGGTGACAAGTACACTCTCAGTTCTGGTGAAGATCCTGACGTAAGTTCATTATTGTCTTTGCAACCAGGTATAATTATGTTATTGTTTAGGTTTCATTAAATCGACAAGTAAAATTAATTTCGAAAGAAAGACACTCTGGCGTGTATGCAGTTCATCTAACATTCAAAAATGTCAAGTCGACACCAGTGAAATTTGATTACAAGGAAATTGTTGAGAGTAAAAATGCACAATTCAAAATTATTCTCAAAGGATCTGATGATCAACGAGCCCAAATTCAAGTGACTACGAACGGTGTTCAAATAGAGAACAAAAATAATACAACTGATCATCGTGGCATGTTGGTAGCGAATGGTGGCGAACAAATCTTCGAATATGAAATTCATTTCAGCTATCCTACACCAAGCAACACATATAGGAAAAGACGACGAGAAGAATAAAATACATAGTTTAAATTTAGAGTTCGCAACATAATAAACACAATATTAAACTAGAGGGTGGAGGTGTGGGCTACCGTGTCAGAATATGTAGCACGTACCGTACTTGATTCGATGTTTTTCAGCTAACAATTTATTCGGCGATGCTGAAATAAGTCAGCGGAAAATTTTTATTTAATTTGAGTGGTTAAAGTAATAGAGAATAATAAATCTAGTTTGGAGATCACGAAAAAGAAACCGAATATCGTAACAAACAAGTAAATACGTATAGAGAAAAAAACCTTATCAAGAAGAACCGGATGTTAATAAGTTTGATAAAATAACATTTTGAAAAATTGAAGAAGTTCAATAGACGAACTTGCTTGATAGAATGCTATACCTATGGCGAGATCTAAATAAACAATCTAAGGTACTGTTTCTCTGTGCTCAACATTCTGGCATTCTGCTCATCACTGGCCAATCCAGTTTCAAATTATAAAAAAAATCGGTTGCATTTTCATTTCTGGGATGATGATGAAGTTTTCTATTTTTAATTTCACTCAACTGTTTTTCTTTTGTAATTTGACTATTAATTATTAATAGAAATACAAAAGTATATTATTGATCAAATCGAATTAAAACTTTTCCGTTCTTAGACATGAATCATTTGTTTTCTACTAAACTGAATTGAAAATGACGTCAAATCTGACATGACGTTTGTTTTTGGCAACAAGCTATTTCCAATGTTTATGTACATCATTAAAGTCGTAAAATAACGGAATAAATCGTCAATATTTCTTTTCTCCTTTTGTTCTATTTCTTCTCCATTGCTTGAATCAATCGATATGAGAAATAAGTCTTTCTATTCTAGACAAGCAGGGTTTTTCTTACATTTTTATATTGCTTTTATATAACATTTAAGAACGGTTAATCATAGGAACATGGACCAACAATAAATATTGATACATTTAAAAAAAAACAGATAGGTTTTGACAACTTCTGTCATACGGCACAGAAAGAAAGATAAACGAAATAAATTATAAATATGTCTAAAGTGATGTCTTGTTTTACTCAATGCAACTTATATCATATTCTACAGCATTTTACTTGTTTTAAAGATGTTTTGCTTATCATAAATGAATAGCAGAAATATCAGCGATAAGTTATTAATTTATTCAATGAATATAGTGTAGTGTAAATAAAACTTTGATTTTCGTGTTGTTTGGTAGTGATATATTCAGTTTAATGGATTGTTTACGATACTATATACTTAACTCGGTTATTTTCCTTATGCTAGCATACTTCCTCCGATCACGTTTTCTTCTAAGTATCGTTGCTTTGTTTTACCAGTTTATTCAGAATATACATATAGCTGTCATTTGAAAATAATTGCAGAAATAAAAGAAAAACTAACCTGCGACAGCATTCTGTAAAAGAGGCAGTATTTTAAAATGCGAAACGAAGACTCATAAAACGCACTCTTGATGTAGTATCCCTCCCTCAACTCATGGCAATCGCAGAAAAGAGATAAATAGCTATTCGTATATGTTATGATAGCAATAGGCGGAGAAGAAAGACGATAGATTATACATATTTTTTCATAGCAAGGATAAATGATATTATATTGTAATATTATTAGTGTGATGACCACTGTATGAATCGCTATAGTGTCAACAATATATTTCAGAAAACGAATTAAAAAAATGTATAACTAGATTTATGTTCTCAGATTGCCACATTATGTTGTTCACAACTATCGTATTCAAAGTAGATATCGAAGCTTTACAATTTTTTTCTCCTGGTATAAATAAATAAATAAAAAATTGAATACTGAATCGTTTTAAATTTAATATTGAACTCTCAAATAATTTACTTTATTGAAAGAAAAGCTTTAGTGAACAATTAAATACGGGTCTTGTTCGACTCTCTTGTCTTCAGCACATATTTAACCAACATCAAATACGAGTGTAGTATTGTGCAAGAAAATCTATTGGAATGTAGTATTTTTAATTGCAAGGTATTATAATTATTGCGTTGGTTTTTTCTACTTCACTATTTTCTGTCACAGAGCTGAATAAAAAAAGCGACCCGTTTTGAAAATTTATCTCCATATTCAACTATTCTGTAATTGTTATCTTTTTAGTACTTGAGGGTGTGAGCGTCTGAACAAAAATGCTCTCATATTCACACCCACGCCCAATTAATGTGGTATTGGTTTACGCTATGCTGATGAAAACTTCAGATTATTTTCATTTATTCTCGGTTGCTATGTATATGATGCTCCGAGTCAGTCGGCTACACATTTTCGTGAGTTCCTTGATGGCAAATTAGAAGAATACGGTTTACAACTTTATTCATCTAAATTTGCCGTTTCTGATAATGACCCAAAAACGTTAGCTGCATTTCGTGGTGATTGTACAAGGATAGGATGCTCGGATCATTATCTCAATAAACATTTTCAAAATGCATTCGAATCAGCTGAAATTCATTTGACTAAAAATACGATTGAGAATGTAAATTGTACAGCAGCTCAAAATATTTTTCTTCAAGTGAAAAGTATTGTTACTGATGTTAGACGTTCACATCGTCAACAGGAATTATCAATGAAACTACACTGTAAAAAAATTCGTAGAATACTAAACCCTCGTACTTTCGGAAAATCTTCCTAAACCCTTAAACGGTTTATGATAGTGTCTTAAACCCTTAAAGGGTATTTGTGAAAAAAGGTTTCTGACAAAAGGGTTTCTGACAAAAGGGTTTTTGAGGACAAAAAAGGGTTTATGAGCAGCGAAAGAAAGGTTTATTGTTCTACCCTTTCATCAAAAGGATTATTGTTCTACCTCTTCATGACAAGGGTTTATTATTCGACGGTCAAGGGTTTATTATTCGACGGTCAAGGGTTTATTATTCGACGGTCAAGGGTTTATTATTCGACGGTCAAGGGTTTATTGTTCTAACTTTTCATGAAAGGGGTTTACCCAGGTCGATGATTCCGGACTCCGGAACCGACGGGAAACGGCGGGAAACGGTGTTATTTCCCGCTACTTCCAGTGATTTCCAACGACATTCCAACCGGAAACGGACCGGAAAACTATCCGGAAGTTGGAAGCAGTATTCCGTTTGGAAATCACCGTATTGTAACCGGAGTGTTCCGCACTATTCCCACCACCATAACCATTCGGAAAAATTACCGGAACCGCCCCGTAATCACACGGAATACTATTGGAAAACTATACGGAAATAACTAAATCCGATCGTTTCCATGTGGGAAAACTCCGGAAGTTCCAATCTTATTGAGATCTCCCGAATATTTCCTCACACAGATGCACCTACTCACCAATCATAGTCGCACCACCAACTAACTAAATGACCAGCCGGCTTCCATCATGCCAATAAACTAACGCACTGCTTGACAATCATTCTCTAAACCATACCACACCCGTAGAGATCCCCAGCTCCCCACTACAACCATCAGATAATTTGAGGATTCTTCCTCGAAATTAGCGGGGAAAAGACGCCTAAAGGTCTTTTTAATTCATTACCTTTCATTTGAGGTATGGCAAAGCACCATCCAATCATTGTTATTAAAAGGATCCTTTTCCTCAAACAGCTTATTTGAGGTCTTCCGAAGAATTGTGGTTTGAAATCACCCGGGAAAGACTCTTAAAGGTATTTTTAATTCATTACCTTTCATTTGAGGTATGGCAAAGCACCATCCAATCATTGTTATTAAAAGGATCCTTTTCATACTGCAGCTTAATTGAGGTCTTCCGAAGGATTGTGGTTTGAAATCAGCCCGGAAAGACCCTTAAAGGTATTTTTAATTCATTACCTTTCATTTGAGGTATGGCAAAGCACCATTCAATCATTGTTATTAAAAGCATCCTTTTCATCAGACAGCTTATTTGAGGTATTTCGAAGAGTCCTTTTTTCCACCTGGAGCGAGATTAAAAGTGTTTCTTGGTAAATGACGACGAAGGAGAGTTCTAAATGCTTGACCGGAGTGGGAGTCATGAAGAAGAATCTTCAAGAGTCTTTGTAGAGAAAGTACAAGTAATGGTCATTTGAATTTTTCAAATTTCAGATATTGAGTGGGAATTTTTTTCGAGACATTTCAATTTCAAACGGTATGAATGAGATCGTAACATATCTGAGAGAAGAGTTATTATGCGAGGAAGAGCTTTCAATGACTCTACTGTTGAAGTGATAGTTAGTATGCTTTGCAATAGCTGATTAAAGGGCATTTGAGGGGTATATAATATTGAAATTGATGTATTGAGAGTACTTTTTCCTGTTGAATAAATAATGGAGAATGGAAATTAGGATGAAGAAGGTATTTAGGTCAGGTGTTGAATCTTGAGACATATGTAGCTTTTAGTGTAAAATACGATGTCGAATGGATAGTCAGCACAAAGTATCGGCTGAATATATCTCAGTAACATTCTCTTGAACGGATTCACAACACTTAAGCATGAAATACTTATGTTTGACAAGATTTTGTTAAGTTGTTACTTTAAGAGATCCTTTTTTAATCTTCATGAGTGAGACTTTGAAATACCCTAATTATCGATTAATTAGCCACAAAGAACACAGAAGATCATGCAGCGAATGGTAGCTGGTGAAGAGATCAGTGGGAACAGTCTTTAAGAAAAATCTGCATGAAAATATATAAGTTTTCTATCTAAAGTGAAGTTGCTTATATAGAGATGTTTCTCCAAAACAAATCGGTGATTGAGTAGTGAGCACACGGAAGTAACCGGATCCTGGTCGGATTGATTTTAGTGAACGAGAACGCAACAGTGCCATACTGAAATGTAATAAAAGTCAACTTGGTTAATTTCTTCGAAGATTTTTCTATCTTAATCCTAATTAATTAGGCTCAAATATATTAATCAAGGGATAAATACCTAGAAAGGACGAAAAGGGCTTTGGATCGAGATTGTGAATAGTCTTTAACAAAAATCTACATGAAAATATATAAGTTTTCTATCTAAAGTGAAGTTGCTTATAGAGAGAACTTTCTG